CAAACAATATATATAGGTACTTAAAATTATTTGATCATTTTATTTTTGTTACAAACTTATTTTTACAATGTTACCTTCTAAAAAAAATACTTAATGACAAACTATATTATATTTGTGGAATAATGGAATTACTTCTGCATATGAATAAACTCTAAAACTGGAATAAACATGTCAACTATCTATTACAATCTCAAAAAATTGAATTCAAAAGACAATAATTCAAGAAAATCTGATAGTGGTTGTTCTAAAGAGATTATAGCACATGAATCAAAAGCAATTGATTAATATTTATATCATAATCCAAGACTTTTTTCAAGAACTTTGGCAATTAAATTATCAAATATTAATATCAAAATATCACATTTAACAATTTTAAGACATTTGGTCAATATGGGTTACAAAAATAATTTACCTTTAGAAACACCTATGCCTATCTTAATGATAACTGGAAAAAAATATTATTGTCTAATGAAACAACATTTCAACTATTCAGAAATACAATTATTCAATGGTATAAAGGTGCAAGACCAGTTAAAAGAATGTCTAAAGATTGTATTAAAATCTTTGCATGGAGAAGATTTTGTACAAAAGAAAAACTTCTCCTTTTTGTTTTAAAGAAATTATGAATGCAAAATTTTATATCAATATTTTGCAAAATTATAAACAAGAAATTAATAGACTACTTGGAAACAATTGGTGCTTTCAATAAGATAATAATCCTAAGTATATAAGTAAAATTGTTAAAGCATTTTTAAAGGAAAATTTTTTTGAAATTATTGATTGACCTTCTAATAGTCCAGATTTAAATTCCATTGAAAACCTTTGAACTATTACTAAAAGAAATGTAGAAATAGGATTATCAAAAAATATTTTAGAATTAGAACAATTTATAATAGAAGAATGGGATAAAATTCCAAATAAGGTTTTAAATAATTTTATAGATTCAATGAAAGATATATGTGAATTAATAATTGAAAATAATGGTAAAAGAATTAATTATTAATTATATATTAATAATTTCTATGCAGTAGTTTTTGAGTAATGAATAAATAAAAAATTCCAAAATTTTTTGCACCACACTGTATTAGACAAGATCTAGTTACTTGATCAAAAAAAAAAAATTGTTTTTTTAAATATTAAACAATAAAACTTCAATATATGTTTTTATTAATAATCCATATTAAATTAATTATAATTTAAACTAGTATAAAACCTATATTATATATATAACAAACTTGCCAATAGTAATAAAAATAATAATTATAATAAAATAATACTCTTTAAATATATTTGCTTATTGATTGTTTTTTTTTTTTTTTAAAAAAAAATTAATTTATATAAAAATTATAAGTACGTAATTAATTTTTTAAGATATACGTCACTATGTCATGTGAGTTACCATAAATTTATAGTAATTGATTTTTTGCTAGTGAATTTTTTTTATTCCGAAAACGCGTAAAAGAAAATGTTTGGCGAACAATTAAACAGCGCGACGCCCCTCCAAAGTAATGCTCCAAGAACACCTATATCGCAAATTAGATCTTCCTCAAAGCCTATTTCCAAAGTTAGGTTGGCCTCAAAGTCTACTTCCCAAATTAGCTCGGACGTAGAGCATACTCCAGATACACCTTTGTATTATTCGGTAAAACAAACACAATATAATACACATGTTTCTGAGGTCGACCAAACTCGAATGCAAGTAGACAGCATATTTCGACTGATTTTCTCATATACGTGGGTAATTAAAGACTTCCAAGATTTTTTCAAAAATCCGAATGGTTCCGAAATTTATAGCGATAGATTCACATCGTCTCCGTTTTACTCGGCTACACGAACCTCGGGGATCGATGAATTTCCAGACTTAAGATATTCTTGGCGTTTGGTACTTTATCCAAATGATATCTTGCTTCAGGAGAAGAATTTTATCTCAGTCTTTCTTTTATCATATCCAAGTGATCTTGAGAGGAGGAATAGCTTATCTAAGATTGTTAGAGTTGGCTTCGATCTATATAGAGTTGAGGGTGACTCGATCGACAGAAATAATAGTACATCGGATTCAATGATGAGACTTTTAAAGTCTCATCAACCGTCAACGGAAGTGTTTTATTTGGGTGATGAAACGACGCGTCACGGGATACGGAGATTCAGTGATTTCGGAAGTATATTTCCTGACAACAATACCAACAAATCCACATCAATAGCGATCCGAGTAAATTTTTATCATGTAGACGAAGTTATGGATGTCATGTCTCGTTCCAAAAATATAGAGCCAGACTATCTCGAGCTTTTTAACAATCCGGTCCATAGCGACATCATATTTCAATTGGATTGTGGAAAACAAATTTATGCTTATAGTGAATTTCTCGCAAAAAAGTCGCGCTTTTTAAAAGAACTATTTGGTCAGGTGATTGTGGATATCGGAAAAAAGAATATAGGAGCAAAACGAATTATGATCCGAGATGCGGAATACGATCATTTCAGAATAATGATTTATTTTGCATATACTGGAAAATTTGAGCAAAAGCATGGAAAATTATCCTTTGATGATTTGTTACATTTGATTAGGTTAGCACAGTCATTTGAATTTCGAGATTTTGAGAATGAGGTGTTAGAAAGACTCGGAAATATTATTAATTTAGATAATTGGAGTGATATTCTCAAGGTTAGCAGGAGAGTGTGTAGTGATGAATTGAAATACAAGGTATTGAGATTTGTTAGTGAAAATTGGAATCAGGTCAGAGGAACGCAAAAGATGAGGGGGTTGATAAATCTTGATGATTTCGAATTAACAGAGGAATTGTTTTGGGCGCGATTTGTTAACTATCGCTAGAGCAATATGATTTTTCTTAGGATTTTGTTGGTATTGTTTAGTGTTTTATGATATAGATTTACAGAAGATAAGCAAGCAATTAGAATGAGGATAGCAGTATATAGGGAGATTATGCTAAATCGAATACTTTCTAACCTGTGATTATGATAGACATCGGAATAGAATAGACGTGTTTATAATGTTGACGGACCTGTTATGTTATATTATATCGTTACACGCTGTAAATTTAATATGACGCGTATTTTGATTAGAGGAAGGTGAAATTTCCACTAGTTCGAAAGTAATTTATTTAGTAATTTATTTATAAAGTCGAGGTTAAAAACCTCGAGATATGATCCAAGAAAGATCAATATCACAGGTAAGTACATCTACATTTAATTCACGGGGAAAGGAATATAAATAAATATAAGAAATTCTAAAAGATTGTGTTAAATTACACGTGCTTGTCAATGTCTATTAGTTATCATAGTTCTCTATGCAAAATCATTATCTTAACTATTATACAAGATTTTTTTGATGAAGATTCAAATTCTTGAGATGTCTGGGTCCCAAGATTTTATAAGTCTTCTAAATTCTCTCATTTTTTCCTCTTCGTAAAATCCAAAGTCTATCGTTGATCCTTTGCTCGAACCACGACTATCCTTGCTTCCACTATTAGTTGATAATGATCCAGTCGAATTTCTGTTTAACAAATGCAATGGAATATTTCCCCGTGGTGTTAATGTGAACCCATTGTTATTGGAATATCTTGAATTAGCCGATATTGTGCCCATGCTATTATGAGAGTTCGACGAGCCCGATGAAGATTTTTCGGATTTTGTTATTTGTGTTTTCGACGTCATACCGAACGACGGTGTCATCGGTAAATTTACGTCCACGAGAAAAAATTCTAGATCTAGTCTCTCTTCCGGAATTTTCTCCAGTCGCAAGTTATTACTGGAAGATTGACCAGGAGTGTCCACAAAACTGACACTCGGTGATATCGACTTGACTTTTTGCTTTTGTTGTCGTCGTGGTACTTGTTGTGTCGGTGATGATGATGGACTCCCTTTGACCGATGCTGACGAGGATATTGAATGTTGCAAGAGTAACCCTCTGTTTAGTCCACCAACATCCGAATGTTCTTTTACCGACCCTTGAGGAATCGTTGCTGAAAATAATTCTCCTGCAGTATCCCCATATAATGATATTGATAGATTCTGAATAACATCTTTGTCTGACGACGGCTCGGTTTTTCTCAGAGAATTTAGATCTTTGTTATTGTCATTCGGATAAAATCCAAGATCTGACGGGAACATTACTAAATCGTTATTTGAACGTTTCTCGAATGAGAATTCCTTATGATAATAATCTTCCTTTAGCATTTTATCGGACGGGTCGTGTACTTCTTCAGCATCACCACTTTGAGAAGCTAGAACAAAAATAAGATCATTTGGAATTAGCATAAAAAGCGCTAACATAATCATTTGTATTTATCAAGAAATCTAAACTCACACAATGAAGCTCCAGCAGTATCCTCGCATTCCGCAACATGTCTTTTTGGTGATTGCGTCGTGGTTTGTGATGACCTCATTGTAGAAACACGATGAAATGCCGTGGACCTCCCATACGTCGTTGGCTCCTCGCCTACTATTGCTGAAATATCTTTGACTCCTGAAGCATTACTTTCCGTTTCTTTTCTTTTTCCATTTTTACTACTATTATTCCCAACACTGTTCCCAAACTCCGTTACAAAGGGCGTTTTGAGCGAACTATTTTTTCGTTTTGAAATCTTGTAGTGCTTGCCCTTTTTATTGTAAATGGCATCATCGTTTGGGATCTTGATAGTAAGCAAGGGGTTCTTTCGGTGCATAAATGGATTTGGGGAATTTGGATCCATTCGTTGGCTGAATGTCGATGGACCTGTTGAGGATAAATAGGACAGCGTCGTTTGGACTTGATTTTTTTCCTGCATTATTTTTGACATTGGTGATGATGATAGATTTTCTTGTATTTGTTGCGGCGATAGAGAGTTTTCTTGTATACCTGAAGGTGTAATTGATCTCTCGTGAACATCAATGATCGATGAACCTTCTAGCGAAATGTGAATAGAACCGGAAAGTGACGCAGAACTGTTCATTCGGAAGTTTAAATTTGTTCCCAAGATTACTAAAGAAATGATCGTTAGTCTTTACGTGAGAATTTGAATTTACTGAAAATTTAGATACTCACGAAACGTCATGTATGGTAGCAGGGCCATTAAAAAGTCGGGCCAAGTTCCCATGGATTTGACAGAAGATTCGGCAAGGGTGCAAATCAATTCCATCACTAGCAAATGCCGAGAACATGTCGACTTTAACAATGCATTTCGGGAAAGACAAACAAAGACCAAATCGACATACCTAAAGAAATGAACAGTAGAATCGAAACAGCGATACCAAATATAGGAATTCTTTTATGCAGCGAAATATCAGTTATTCCTCGACTCGCATTTCGGTGTCTTCTTATTAGCATCGCGTTCAATACTATTGCGAACGAGGAATGAAAAATTAAACGTTTGATATAAAAGTGCTGTGTGCAATAAAAAAAATATATCGAATATTGTACCTGAAAATATTATGGTAGCAGTCATGGCTAACAGGCATATAAAAAAAACACCTAATACTCTGATTATTTTTGAGGTGAAGAATTGTGTGAACGCGCTAGTCACAACCGATAAAAATAAACTTTCGAATTAAAAGAAGTTAAAACAAGACTTACAACGGTAGGTTACGTTTAGAAATTGTGCAATGATAGCTCCAAGGTTCAAATGTCACATCTCTCACCAATAAAACCATGAGTAATGCGATAAAAGTCGGGAATAACCACCCTGCACCCATACACCCATATAACAGCTTCTTTGTCATCTGTCTACGTGCACCCTCTCTAGCGTGCATTAAACCTCTCATCTGTCTCTCATCGTCTACTGGTTCTCTTTCGTACACATCGTAATTCCACCCAATCCAAGTGGTGAATTCAATGCATGCCGGCCATATTGCTAAGCTGCAGATCACGTAAGTAATCAACACCGCCTGAATGTGACATATCCGCATTCCATTATCCAAGGTGCTTATGATTAAACCTATTACACCCGATATTATGGAATCCAGGAGGAGAGTGACGGAATAACATGATATTGTAGGATATCGCCTGTAGGCTATGAGCAAGCAGAACGATGGTAGTATCGAAAGGAAATGGAGGGCATAGTATAATATAGCGTCCGGCGCGAGCATCGCTTTGAGTGTAAATGATTCCGGAATATGTTATCTTATGAAATCCTTTACTCAAATACGAAAAAAAAGTTTCGCGTTATTATATTTTTTTTGTCTAGGTTTAAATATTCCCTTTCCTTTTGAAAGTGAAATTACTGTACAATTGATCGCAACTGCAGGTTGTAGCGATCATTCAAAGGCCCAGCCGTTGTTAGAAAAGAAGAGAAATTTCTGTTGTTCTAATAATATTGTTGATGTCCTGGAGATTCCTCACAACTTAACTCTTTCGACATTTGTTCGACGAGTGAGATAACTAGGTAGTAATTTCGAAGCTGTGTCGAAGATAGAATTGATGTTGAAAGTGTTTAGAAAATGAATTACTTAAAATGGCCAAAGGAGTGGGAGGGAGGTGAGAAATTAACCAGCTCACTCTCCAGGGAAAATGAACAAGTAAAAATAAGGTAAATTAGGTAAATTAAATAATAAGGACGTATCACCATTAAAACTCTTCTAGAAAAGCATAGAACATACTGTTCACTTCATATTTAATAAAGAAAATTGATTTTCACATTCCTCACTCACTCACTTTATCAATGCGAAAAATAACATGAAGATTTATATATATATGTGTGTGTACTCATATGTACATTAATGTCATGAAACACGTAAATTTTTAGCAAGTTGATATTGTTTTACTTATCTATTTGATTAATAAGACAATCGTGCATGGGTTACGATGTACTGTATTCTGTAATGAGTAAGATCAAATGTTTTTTACATACGTACAGGTGTTATCAACTTTGTCAACATTACAAACGTTCCGCGCACAGTCTGCGTAGGACTTAATGTTAAACATACTGAAATTCATTTGTCTTTTGCCCGATTGATTTCTCGATCTTTATTTTGTGGAGCTTCTAAATTTGATCACAATGTTATGATTTACAATAGACTAGACGGACTCATGACCATGATAAACCAAACGGTTAGAATGAATGAAAGACAATTAATTTGCGGACCCAATTGAAACATTTTATAATAAACAAAACCAAAATAGATTGATCGACAATGCGGCAACATTAACATTGTGAGAGTTAAAATGTACCAATTTTATTGACTGAGACACATTCCACGAGAGTTTTTCAGATAAGCGCGAAAATACGCAGAGTTTCGGTCTCAATCTATTTCATTAGAAGGATGGTTAATTTTTAATAATTTCATATGACCAGAAAAAGAATCACGAAAAAGGCAAGCAAAAGCCATATCAAAGACGCCGTGTTACTCGTAACATTTATTCCTTCCCTTTACTAATTTAGTTCTAAAGGTTCGATACCGAAGGGACGTATACATCGTTAGGCTGTAAGACATTAAGAAATGATTTTCATCAGTCTACATTAGTATGCAGAAGTTCATCTTGTAAATATTACGACCATCGAGAATAAAGAAACTCAGGTTTCACATCAAGTAAATTCGTTCGTGTTAGATTAAATTGATGATTTGAAATTAAAAGTAAATTGATTAGGCAACGACGCTCTGGTATAATCATCATTTGTCAATTAATTCGCGCTATTAACATAAAATCATTAATCCGATCTAACAGATCGCTACTACCATTTCTTTGCGTATGTCGCAATTTTAATTCCGAAAAATCAAATTAAGGGTAAAGCCGAATTCGTAGTCGCACTCAAAAATTGTTTCACAAATTACCCGATTACCCAAATTTGTCACGAATTAGGAAGACCAACCGACAAATTACCCCAGATGGTTTGCATTTCTCACTTACACTAAATTAGGAGATAAGAAACGAATTGGAAAATGGAATAGATTCGAAAAATGACAAAAAATTTTATCTTTTTTTTCTTTGTGAGGTTGAAATGTCTCACATCTCGTTCGTATTAATAAGCGATGCGGGTTGGAAGCTCGGAATGGATTTCGTAAGTACGTATAATTATATAATAAGAGTTTAAAAATATAAATTTAGTATGTCATTTTGAAAATTAAATGAATCGAAAAGAAAACCAATAAATAATTTTATTCTGCTAAAGATTTACTGGTGGGTGTTGGTCGTTGTTGATAATCACACAAGACCCTTTTTGGTTTCGAATCCTACAAAGATGGTTTGAGAAAAAAAGCGTGATACAGTACGGAGAATTAAATGTGCAATTGGTGCAACTTTCTTATTAAATACAGTACGTAATACAAAAATAATTTATCACGTGCCTACGCAAGCGTTTACCGAAGTAGCCAAATAAAGATAGTAATTCTCTGGAAAAAAAAAATCCGATAATTTTTAATTAAAAATATTTAACAAACATTTATAATAACGTTTTTCCAACATGAATTCGCCATCTTTTCTTATCATTTGACTTAATTTAATTTTAAAGCGTAACGATTAAATTTTAAATTGATTTTGTGAATTAGCAATTACACAAATTGAACCACTTAAATAATTTAATGCTACATCCGTGCGATACACAAAATATCTGCTGTCTAAATATCTCATGCTTCTGATATCGATAAAAATATAAAATAAAATTTGGTTGATTATTATTATTTTTTTTTTTATTTTTATTTAAAAAAAAAATCATTATTATTAAATTTTAAATAATATTAAAAGTGGCGATATAAATTGTTATAGTTTAAGAAAAAATCTTTTTTAAAATACTGTACGTTTTCAAGTAATTTCAAATTATATTTTTTTAAAAAAAAACCAAATGACTTTATTTTTATTAATTAAAAAAACATAAAAATTTATTATAACCACAAAAATAAAAAAAAATTTTTTTTCACAATAAATCATAAATTACTATTATTTCAATAACATTGTTTTATTTTAAAATGTTTTAATCAAGAATAAATATAAGTTGACATGTTATCTTATTATAAAAAATTAATATCAAATATTACTTACTTATTTATTTATTTATTTTTTTTTTATTTTAAAATAAAAACAAATTGCATATTATTATGTAGAAACTTTATTTCAACAAATTAATATAAGACAAAAAATAATCAATAATAAGAAATCATTAAATAAGATTATTTAATGTAATATATTACAATTTTTGAAAAAATTCAAATAAATATGATTTTAAGAGTAAAAATAAAAATGATATTAATAATTATAATTTGGTTTGAGAAATCAATTCGATTTTGCTGGTGATTGCAAATTAAATCTTTTAATTCATATAGTTTTAATATATAATAATTATAATTTATAATATCAACTTAAAATAATTATTATAGAATTAATTTTATCAGAATAATAAAATGAAATTGTAAAAAAATAATGAATTTAAATATCGGAAATAAAATAATTTACAAACCATTTCAAATACACAATATTAACAATACTATCATAAAATATTTGTAATGTAAAAAATTCTGGCATTAATAATGTTTTCAGAATAAATATTGGTCTACAATTAAATTTTATAAAGGAAGAATATAAATCTTGAATAAAATTTCAGATTAACAATATATGATAACAAAAAAAAATTCTTTTTTTTTTCTAATACGTAACTATTTTTTTAAAAAGAATATGCTGTATAATTGTTATTTCATAAATGTTTCACAAGTTGCATATCGAATATCGACACGTGGAAAAATGCTTAAATGCAGTGCGCAAATCAGTAGGCAACTCAGATGCGAGTTACGAAAATCTTTTCCTTCTGCCAAACCGTTATCACTCATTCGCTGTCTCGAAATCACTTTAAGAGAATGTCTTCGCCTGAGATTCAACCCGCCAAAAAAATTCGACTCAGTTATCTGGAGGCATCCACGGTACCATCCATCGAATCAAATGTTGACGGAGCCCAAGAAAATCTCGATGTAATTGGTCAAGATGTTACAGGGCGAAGTGAAAGGAATAAAGTCATGATTGAACAAGAGGTTGGATTAACTGAATACGTGGATGCATCCGTACCGGGATTCTCAGCAATTATTAAACAAAGGCAGGATCATGTTTGGATAATACTTGGCATGATATTTTACTTTTGAAGGTTAACCTTGGACTTTTTTTTTTATTAAGATTTGCCGATTTCTTAGTTTATGAAATCGATAAGCTAGGCAATGTTGTGCACCTCACAAATCTCGATGTTCCCAAAATTACCAAAGCAGATGATAATCTGGAAGAACAAACAAAGGAATCCCTCTCAAATAATGAAATAACCGAGCCGGTAATATGAGATTTTATGGTGGAATTGGCAATAGATTTTGTAATGCTAATGTTGTATTGAAATTTGAAAAGGTAATTTCGTTGGACTCAATATTCGTCGAGATGAACTCTCTGATTGACGAAGAAACAACCAAACTAGTACAAAATTTGTTAAATTCCAATGGAAAAGATCCACCTTTCGTTGAAATAAAGGTAAATCCCGATGTCATCTTCAATGAAATAGATTACTCGTCAAACCTCTAATTATCCAAACCCTTACGTAGCCGGAGAACGATAAGGAGAAACGGCGAAACATTCATGAATTTTTCAAGAAACATTTTGGTAACGTGCTAAATACTGAGACCAAGGAAAAGGCAATCCGTGTGAGCATGCATACATCCAAGACTAGGAACGGTGAGTTTGTTCGATTGTTTACCAGTAGATTTTTAGGCTAAGCTAATGACAGAACTTTATAGATCGCCGCAATAAGAGACGAGATGATCATTGGGAGGCTTTGGGCGGCACTCATTGTCAGTTCGTTCTATACAAGGAGAATCGAAGCACCATGGAAGCCATCAACTTTTTATGCAAGACCTTAAAGTGTGGTCTATTTGTTCTTGTGTGATATTTATTTTGATCTATTAAGCATTAATGGAATTTTATTTTTTGTCTTAGGCTTCATGCACGAGTATTTAATTATCCCGGAACTAAAGATCTCCGTGCAATTAGTGTCCAAAAAGTTACTGCAAATAGGGTGAAGGCAGAAAGATTGGCCGGGTTAAATTCACATCTTCGAGATATGAAACTAGGTAATTTTGAGTAAGTATCACCACCTTTCTTATTTGAATTTATCATGATTGGATTAAAAAAGAGCAATTATAATCGATACAATTGAGAGTAACTTTGTCTTTGATTCAATTGTTCATGAAATTGTATTAGGTATGTTAAGGAAGAATTAAAACTTGGCGATTTGAACGGAAATCATTTCGTAATTACACTAAGGTTTTTGAAATTATTTGAGATGATCTTGATTTTTAGTTTGCAAATATTAAACTATCTGTTAAAAAAAACAATAGAGATGTCAAGGCTGACTCTGAGGATATTATCACGCGAGCTATGAATGCGTTGAAAGACAATGGATTCATCAACTACTTTGGTAAATCATATTAGCATGATAAAAAAAAAAATTATTATTTTCATATATCAATCCTAGTCATATTGTATATATTTATCGTCGGTAAATAACCGGAATGTTTCTTTCTAGGCATGCAGCGTTTCGGTACAACATCAATTATGACCCATGAAATCGGTCGTGCACTTTTACAAAATAATTGGGAGGAGGCAGTCGATTTAATATTGAAACCTAGACCAGGAGGTATATCTAATGCATGTTTTATTTTAACTTTCTTTGGTTCTATTTCGTTTAATGCTAGGAATTTATTTTAGATCGATCTGATTATCAAAAGGCTAGACAGATTTGGGCAGAAAGTCGCGACGCGAAAAAGACATTAGAACTGTTTTCAAAAAAGTGCATCGCAGAATGCCATATTTTGTCTTCATTTGTAAAGGCTGGGAATAATAAAGATTGCGCAGGTGCTTTTAATACGGTGACTATTTTCGATTGTTTCTGATGTTTGACTTGCCTTCGTTCGTAATCGATTCCAAATTAATCATTATTTTTAATAGATACCTAGAAATCTTCGCCTCATGTATGTACATGCATACCAATCTTATGTCTGGAATAAAATGGTTTCTGAAAGGATAAGGATTTTTGGTTGCGATGTACCAGTCGTGGGAGACTTAATTGTTCTTGACGGTGATGATTCAATTGATACCGAAGATTCTATTAGCGACTTGGCTTCTGGTGAAAGTTCTACCACTGGCTCCGGCAATAAAAAGGTTTGATATTGTAGTCGCAAGCTGAATCACTTATGTGACCATCACAGATAATTTTTTATTCTGTTTCATAATTAAGGATATTAAGGTGAAAGTTCTTACCGAAGAGGATTTGCCTAATTATACAATTTACGATGTGGTTTTACCTTTACCCGGGCACTCGGTTATTTATCCAGACAACATCATATTTCAAAAGTATAAAGAGTTGATGTGGAAAGATCGCTTAGATCCGCGTGAAATGAAAAGGAACGTGAAGTAAGTTGATTTTAAAAAGTTATAGGCTTTGTGTATATTGAAATGACTGCTATTTTATAATAATATTATTATTACGTAGAGATCTTTCATTAACTGGAAGTTATCGTAAGATTATAGGAAAACCAAAGGATGTATTTTGGTTGGTATTTTGAATGTTTTGACCATTTTGGACTATTCATATTATGTTTCATTAACTACATGATTGCATTGTTTCTTTTAAATAATTAGGAAAACATTTAGATATAATGATCCAAAAATCCCGTTAGCTCTTAACGATTTGGAGGTTCTTCAAGGAAAATCCGAGCCAGAAAGCATACCAGGTGAATTTCATGAATTTCATGATTGGGATTTTTTTTTCTCCTTTCTGGTTTCTTAATAAATATATATATATATTTTTTAAAAAAAAAAACAAATATTAAAGATGGCGCTTATCTAGCATTACGCGTTCATATTTCATTATCAACAAGCCAATATGCCACAATGGCTCTTAGAGAGCTGCTAAAAAATTCAGCAAGCACTGAACTTACGTACACCTCTACGGAAGCTTTATAAATTTTTCTATGACAGTTTTTTTTAAAAAATTAGATGTGATCCTATATGGCGGATTCTTAAAGTTACGGTTTAGAAAAAGAGGCATCAAATGAACAGGTTTCAGGCAAAAATAATATACACAAAGGGATCAATCATACTGAAAATACTGGGAAATATGAAAACTATGGAAATAATAAAAGAGAAATTTTTGGTTAAAAGTAAAAAATGTAAAATAACACCTGGTTCTTTTACCTTGTTATCTAAGTGTTATATGATGAATTTTATATAGAAAATATAACAAATTCTCAATTATTAGGTGATTAATCAGATGATCAGAACAAGCTGTAAATCATATGTGAAATATGACATCAATTCTGTTTCAGATTGAAAATAAATTATGGGAACGAGAAGAAACAACAATAACTTATGACATGTACTTTACGGCATCGAGGTAATTACAGCAATTCAACAGGTGTTACCCAACTATAACAATAGCTTTTATTCACTGAATAATGGTTTCCGTTGTTGAGTGATCTCGCTATTAAAGGTAACATTTAAATGCTATACAACTCAGAAGCACTTGCGGCGAGTTCCTAATGCTCTGACGTGATGCTTTACTGCGGAAAATGTGTGTATAGACTAAACTACCTCCAGACATCGTGGCATCATATCATACTTTCGATAATTTATCACACTGCCTGTCCATATATGGTTGAGCCTCGGGAGTATAAATATATTGGCGCAAAATGTTCGAGAAAATACCTTCTCACGTTAACGATTTTTTCTTTTCGCTTCACGACAATGTTCTCGTATAAGTTGAAACCTCTCTCGAAGCCCGTTCATATGAATACATTCTTTGGACAAAAAAGAAATTTTTGTTGGGATAATCAACCTATTCCCAGGGACTTTGAAAAAACCTTTAGTTCTTTGAGGTACAGCATGTTCTTTAAACTACAGAAGAAAATGTCATACCTAATGTTTCTTTTCTCCCAAAGTTTATTATTTTACTAAACGCGAAAAAAAATTTTTTTTCCACATAAATTCACTAGAGAAAAGCTTCAAGAAATAGAACAACTCCGTTCTGACGTTCAACAATCATCCGTTCAAGCTGCCTCCCGATGTTCCGAACTTAGCGGCTACTTTAACGAGCTGGAAAAGAATACCGAGATTGTCGGTCAACATCTCGAAGAGTTGAATCGTTTGTGGAAAGAGGAAGGAAAGAAAAATCAAGATATCATAAAAGATGCATGTCATAAGCTCATTAAAGGATTTGGTATTTACGGAGCATAAGAATACGTGTTGAATGTTTGTCAAATAGAATATTACTTGTTATAGACCTGTGAGAGTGAACAATATAAATAAATTTACGCTCGAAAAAACTATTTGACTAAACTCTCATCTATTAACGAATTTCTGCGCACAGTTCTTTAACATCTTCACTAAGGGTAAAATTGTTCAGCTTATACTTGTATCGCGTGTATCTGATTAATTATATAAATGGCTCAACTTTTCGATAATATTTCTTTATTCCTGACTCTTAATATCCTGATTTGAACAAACGCGATGCGTAGAAGACAAATAATTAATTGATGACCTTGCGTTCAGATGGCCCGCGAAGATATACTGTGCTTCCAGACTTGATCTACTTTAACTATTATAAATATAAATATACGGTATATTATTTGTTAATTTATTCAATCATTATGTTTTGAAAATTTTAAATATACAGTAGTGCACCGTTAATCTAAGATTTTAAATTCGAAGTCACTTTTATACAGGGTTAATAAGAAAAATATTTAAGTTTATTAGGAAATTTATTATGTCACGGAAAAAAGTATTCGAGTTTTAGAAGGAATATTAAAATTCCAATGCACTGTATAATTGTATTTATTTATTTATTTATTTATTTAATAAAATTTTTTTAAGATTCATATTCACTTTTTTAAAAAAAATCATATACTAAATAACTCAATATTTATGAATTAAAAATATCAATTTATACAATTTATAAAAAGATACATCATCTATAAAGTATAAAATTTTGTTATTTAATTAAAAGTAATAATCTAATATCTTGTATTAATTTTTTGACAATTAATTTTACCAAATAATAAAACAATGAAACTATTAAAAATACTTTTTGTTAAAAAATAATAGTTTGACTTTGCTGTATTAAATATTTCAAAAAATATATAATATATAATATATAATTACAATATTCAAGAAAAAAATTTTATTATTATTATTCTTATATGTTATTTATGTTAAATAAAATATAAGTTTTAAAAATAAAAATCCAATAATTTATTAAATAACATTACTTTTATATCTTATTTATTGTAATATATCATAAATTATTATAAAAAAATATATTAAATTAAAAAATATATATTGGTTAAAATAAGAATTGAAAATTAAAAATTAATGTATTTTATTATTATCTTTTTTTACTATATTTAATAGGATATTTAATTTTATCAAAATAAAATTTTTTAAAATATAAATATTTTATATAAATCTTATATTGTTTAATACTAATTATGATATAATGTACAATATATTATAAAAAAATAAAAAAAATTAAACAAGTAATTCAAATAATGATGAAGCTTCATTAAGTCTTAAAACTAGTATTAAAAGAATATCAAAACAGTATTTCTTATAATAAATATATAGTATATGTTATAATTTATAATTTATTTATATACTGTAAATTTATAATAAATTCAAATATCAAAAAATATGGGTAATTATTTTCGAAGGCGGACCGGAAATTTTCTGGGGTGATCCTAAAATTTATACTATATATGTATTGTTGATCTGAAAAAATCATATCTAGCATTTTTGTCGCCTTCAAAAATAATTACCCATATATAAAATACAAGAAATATTCAAAAAAAAAAACTTTTTTTAAAAATATTTTATATTAAAGTATAAATATAATGGAAAGAAACATATACAAATGTTGAACTCATCCTTGAGGTGTAAGTTGGTATCAAGGTTAGAATAAGGGTGGGATTATCAATTAATTAGCGATAGCTAAGACTGTTCATGTAATGGTTACTTGTAAACTTCTGATTTACAATAAAAATTCTCACATGTATCGCATCTTTAACCCTTAAAAAAAAAAAAAAAACGAAACATATACAAATGTTATTAAATATTTTCTTGATATTATATATTGCACTAATGACCAATTGAAAATTCGTACAAGCAAAGGATCAATCTCAATAATAATCATTGATATTATTATTGAACTTTTGTCAAATATTAAGTAATAAATAGTATTATTTATTATTTTTTTGCCGATTTCAAATGATAAATATCGATTGATAAATAAGAAATAAGAAATAATAATCTTTAATATATTTTAATATTTAACTACGAATAAAATATTAAAACATAACCACATCATTCTTGAAATCATATTATTCTCAAGGTACATGTCTGGACAAATAAAATATCAAAATTTTATTATCGTAATATACAGTACTAGTTTCTTACTTTTTTTTTGAAATTACGTTCTAGGCTAAAGCACGAGTAAATCGTTAATTATTAACTTTCTAACTGTTCTAAAACTGCCGAATGATACTCTTATTTATATACCTTAGATGTTTAACTCACTCTCAATCAATTTCTGTCATTATTACACGACACGTCATCACGTCGCGTATTAACCCCTTATTTTATCCACTACATTATTCTAACTGATATTAATAACGAACTTGTGGTATTTAAGAATCTGCATGATGAATTTTCCTACTATAATAACTAAGGGTAAAGATATATGATTTATGTTCCGATATTTATGGTGGGTTAATATCACTTATCGGAAAAATAGGCATAATGACATCATTAAGTAAACGCGAAGACTCTTCACTTTAACAAGCTAATATTATGTAAAAATTTCGGAGTAACTGTATTTCATGTAACTAAATTTCACCGAACAGTGTTCGTCAAAGCTTCAGACAAAGACCTTATCAGTTCATCAAAGTGCAATCATTTAGTGTGACTGTGGGTTGTCTAGGGTTTATTTACAAAGACATTAAAATAATAATGTTAGGTTTTTATGATAAGTGAAAGTTGATGCAAAAATTTTTACTGTTTTCATTTAATTATAATAAAAATATCGTAGATCCCTTACGAAATTTGAAATTTACTTTTGCATTTATATCCGGTATACAGTAGTTGATATTAAATCTTTCATCAATTTTATTAGCGATATTATTCAAAAAATTCATCCCACTACTTCCAGGAATATACTGTACTTGGTATTTTTTTGTAATTGCGTAACGTTGTGCAATCATAATACTGTACTGTAGTGGGAAAATTCATGATCAAATATCAAATATGCAATCGTTTTATTACTGTCCCGAATGCAACCAAGAATTTTCAGGAGACAAATGGTGCATGTCATGCAATGGAATTAACTTTCAACAAGATTTTGACAAATGGTCAAGTGGAAATAAAAAAATTGACGAATTTATACAAAAGTCTCAGCTTCAAGCTGAGAGTCGATGGAAGATATTAGAATGGATACCGTATACACAATTTCAAGATGTCAAATATATCGCTAAAGGAGGATATGGCACTGTGTAT